CACATAATGGGAGTTGATCCTTATGACTTTTTTATGGAAGAAATATGTTCGGAAAGTGAACCAATTAGATGAACAATCAACTTAAGTCAACGGGAGAAAAGGGAAGAGAATAGGGAGCAGATAACAAAACGAGAAATGATTGCATCAATCATATGGAATGATTATAACACTCAAGAAAACTAGTAATTGAGTGTTAATTATGTGTTTGTTTATATTATGTTTTGCTTGAGTTTGTATTATCTTTGTTATGTATTTGGAGTAGATGTTAACTTTATTATAAATTCTTATGTATTTTATGTATTCTCTTTTAAATATTAATTATAGTTTTTATATGAAATTTATTAAGTCTATATATTATATAATTTTATTTTGTATAATTTTGTAATTGTTTTTGGTAGAAATGAGTTCCATACATAATGAAAAATGCAAGGGCAAGCACTTCACATGGTCTAAGCCTATGTCTCACATATTACTTGAGATATTAGTTGACGAGGCACTTAAAGGAAGCAAACCTTCTTCCACCTTTAAAGTAAAATCTTTTGTTAAGGTGGCTATAGAAATCAGTCAAAAGTTCAACGTGCAATGCGAGCCTAAGCATGTGGAAAATCATCTCAAGACTGTAAAAAAAAAAATAGGGAATAATAACCAAACTTAAAAATAAAAGTGGCTTTGGCTGGAATGATTGTTTGAAGATGATTACAATGTCGAAAGATGTATATGATGAAAAAGTAAATGTATGATAAATATTATACTCTTTGTAATTTTTATATTTACTTTTGTTTTAAAATGTTATACAATGAACTAAAAAATTGCATATTCTAAATTATGAATAGGCACATCTCAATCATGACAAGTATCTCAACAAAAAACTTGATATGTACAAGACAATGACAATTGTTGTTGGAAAAGACATGGCAACCGGAAATTATGCCAAATCATATGCTGATGTCAACTTGGAAGAGAACACTGAAGAGCAATCAATTTCAATTGAAAATGAAGGGGAATATGAAAAAACTTCTAGGGGAAAAGAAACATCTTCCTCTAGTACACAAAAGAGGCAACATAGAAAGAGAAATCGCATGTATGAAGATGATGGTGTTGAAAAGTTGTCTAAACAAATTGGAGATCTAGCATTTGCAATTCAAAGCCTCAGCAAAAATTAACTTGATGTTAATGCTCTGTATACGGAAGTGATGAAAATTGAAAGCTTTGATGAGATCACTCTTAGGGAGGCATTTGATCATTTGGTTCAAAATGTAATGTTGGCAAAAGCATTTATGGCAGAAATGCTAATTTCAGGAAAATTTAGGTTCAGAATTTTATGAACTAACACTACTACAGACCTACTTGCTAAGATGATTTGACTATGTTTAAAATTTAGGTTCAGACTGTGTTTGTTATTTGACGAGTATTTTTACTTGTTTAATTCTATCTAGCATGTTTATGTTCGTAATTTGAACTAATATGTATGTATATGACATCAAAACTTAATATTTATGCATGACTATGTTTGATGTTTGATGTTAGATATTTATATTTATTTCTTGATGCTTATTTGATATATATTAAAGGGATATTAAAGGGGTAATTACCTTTACCCGTAAAAAAAAAATATTTATCCAAAAAACCTATCAAAATATTTTTGTATCTAATTATCTTTTAAAGAATTCTCGGAATTCACTTTCCCCATAAATCATTTTCCAAAAAAAAATAACTTTCCTAAAAAAGAACGGAGCCTTGAGTTTTTGGTTTTCAATACACAAGGTTTTTTCTAATTTCTGAGCTTTGTGTTATCACAACTTTGGATTAAAATATCTTATTAACAATTTAGCTTTTTAAAAAAATTAATTTTTTATTTTAAATTAATATATTTTTAATATTTTTAAATTATTTGGATATGCTGATATAAAAAATAATTTTTAAAAATAAAAATATATTATTGATATTTTTTAATTAAAAAATACTTTAAAAAATAAACACAACTATACTTCCAATAACACTAATATAACTTTATTATTAAAATATATATAATAATAAAAATAATATTTATACTATTAATACTATACTTATAATTTATTTTTCTCCACTGAAGATGCTAGAAATCATAAATTGTGAAAGAAATACCGACGATTTAGTATTTTATTTGAAATAGTTAAAAAATAAAATAAAAAATTATATGCTTGATGAATATTTGTAAAAATTTTACTTCAATTTGATATATTTAATCCACTTAAATATAAAAAAATCAAATTTATAATTTATAAAATATCAAAATTCAAATTTAATTAAGTTATAAATTCAAATCCAACTAAAATATATTTATCAAAGCACTTGCTTCTTAAACCCCACCGCCCCACCTTAATAATTTTCTACTCCTCCCAGTTGACTGCAAGTCCACGGCCGTCATGGGCCCACTTACTCTACGTACGACCCATATTAGTCCAATCCAGCCCTGTCGGAAACGTTCATGTTTTTTTTTTTTTCCTTGTTTTTTTTCCAGCACACTATAATAATTCTTTAGCCTAAGTAAATAATAAATTTTGATAAAAATAAATTAAATTAAATTAAAAACATGTTTGATGAAAATTGATTCCAATTAGCTTTTTTTTTTTAAATAAAAGTGGAATAAGTTGTAGTTAATAAAATTTTAATTTTTGATTGAAGTAAAATCTTGACTCAGTTCGTACTAATTGTTTGTTTAAGTTAAAAGTTATTCCTAATCAATCTTCTTAATTTAGTTTTAAAAAAGACATTAAATGAAACTGTTAATTGATGGAACGCATAAACTACTTGAAAAAACATCTAATCAATAAAAAACAAAAATTAATATCTTGAGATTTCTTGAAATAATTTTATACATCAAACGTAAAGACTTTCTTCAACAAGGACTCGGACCTCCACATCCAAACTAGTCAGTAAAAAGAAAAAAAATCAATTCAGAGTTTTTCTTTAAGATATAAATACAGCTGAACTAATCTTTCGGATCATCTTCCACCCAGGAATCTTCTCAACACAGCAAGCTACCAGTACAAGAGTTGAACCGGTTTCTTTTCTAAGGTTTGTTTCTCCTGGATCTCATTCACTTAAACGTAATTGTCTTTTCTTTGGATCTCTTCTGTTTTTATTACTCTGTGATTGCATGTGTTTCTGTTTGGTGGGTTTAATCTGTTTTTGCGTTTCAATTGCCTGTCTAATATGGGGATAAATTTATGATTTTGGAGATGGGTTTTCTTTGTTTTGTTTGGAGAGGTTAGTTTTAGTGATTAAGTGCTTATTTGACAGTGCTGAAGTGGGAGTTTCTTTTGGCTGGTGGGTTTATAAGATTAGCATGGTGCTGACGAGTTTCTTTCTCTTTTGCTTCTCTGTTTGCATGTTTTGTGAATCATAGATAATCTTTGTGTCGAACTTTAGTGTCTATAGGTTCTGGTCTTTTGGGCTATTCTACCCCAAGCATGATTGAAATTGTATAGGAAATTAGCCCCTTTTTTTTTCCTTATCAATGCTAACTTCTGTGACACATGTTGCTTTGTGTCGATTTTTTTTTTTTTTCCTTGGTGTACATGTTGCTGCCGATTTTTCCCAAGTTGTCAATTTGTGTAACCTCTAAATCTCAATGGATTGGGCCACTTGAGAATATGGAGGGAAATTGAAATGTGTCGAAGGGATTTGTTTGTGAACTTGAATTGTCTGTGATTGTTGGATCCTGTCTTGCGTGTGTGAGAAACATTAGAAGCAGGTTGTTCCTAGCAAAGATCCTGTATAAATTGCTTGATCTTCTTTATGTTCCTTGAACAGCCCGTTGTATGGTATTATGTTGGTGTCTTGAGGCTTGTATGGCTGCAAATAAAAGATAACCTTTTGAAATATTGAGTAATAGAAAAAAGGTGGCGTTTGGAGATGCTGATTAGTTGTTGCTGGTTTTGGAGGTGTGTATTGCAAATGCAAGGAGAGATGATTAGCTTGTGGATGTGAAATTTGGAGAATCCTGTTGCTGAAAGTACATTGAAAACTTTATTCAGGAACGGGATGGCATTTAAGGTGCATTTGGATTGCAGTGCAAAGACTGCAATAGGGGTCATCACCCTAAAATGCAAAGGATGCACAATTGTCCCTGCAAACAATTAATTCATGATCAATTGCAATTATCTGGAATGCCATTGTGATGGCACCATTAGTATCAAGTCCAGGGGTTCAACACTATTTTGACTCGGGTCTAATATGACTAATTATAAAGGTGTATTCTTTCCTTTGGCGTTGTCATTGAAGAATATGAACCCTAGTTTGTTTGTACATGTTGTATTGTGAAAGAAGTAGGTGTGTCAAGTGATTAAGGAATTTAGTCATTTTTATTGAGCTGGAATTTTCTGACTTTGTGCTGCAGTTTCATGCCTTGAGCAATACAAGATCCACTTGAGGATACGAGTTGCAGTGTACTTGAGATGGGATGTTCATTTTACAAGTAGCATCTCATTGGGGAATAAAGTATCATGTCATTAATAATTTACTTCCTTCCATGGTTAACTGTAGTCACATATAAATAGATCATTGGTGTCAGTATCACTACCTAACTAGAAAACCTTAATGGTTACCGAGACAATATTTTATACTCTATTCAGGATAGCTGGAGTAATTTGTTCAATTGTTATAAGCAAGGATTGACTCCTTGCATTCCTAGCCAATCTCTGTTTTTGTTAGTGTTCTTACCTACCTTGCAGTGTCCCCACTAAATACCCCCAATCAGTATCCATGAATGCCCACTGATCAATGTTTGGAAGTCCAATTACTTTTGCTTCTGTTAATTTATTGCAAGTTATTTGAATGCGTTTTCACCGTCCACTTAATAAAGAATAGTTAAAATATGTAATTGGAGAGCTAGAGGATTTGCGTTGTCAGCTTTCACTTCATAATTAAAAGTTATAATCAAAATCCAACTATACATTGAATTTTGTTCTTGAGGGATGGGAACTGCATCTGTACCAGGCAAGAATAAGTGAATGTACATGTTGGTTGTAGCAAATTCATGGATTTTCAATTTTATATGCCGTACTTTATTTATCAAAATACTGATTTGTTCTTTTTTCTGTGTTGGCATATACCTTGCAGCAAGACGTATCCTTGGTCTGAAAATAGTGGACAAAATATGAGTCTAGCATGTCTTGCATGCCACAGCGTAGAAAGTCCATCACGCTCCTTTAGAAGCTACTCAGTCTCGAGTTCAGACAATGAAGGAAGATGTACGGCCATTGCCAACTGCATAACCAGGAAGCTATCTCATCCTCCTCCCAGAGCAAACTCTTCTTTTGCATCATCATCATCCAAAGTGACCCCGCAACCACTTAATCCAAGTAATGACAGCATGACAGGACCCCCACGATTAGTACGCAGTCGTGCTGTGAGAAGAGACCTTGTAAGAGATTGGAATTTTGATGGGGTTGTGATGGAGCGTTAACTACTTCAAGAAGGAAGACTACCGTAATCTTTGCTCGAATGATAGCATTAGAGATTTATCTTGCTGTCTTTCCTTGGACTTTGTTTGTTATGGATGCAGTTAAGCTCGCTTTTCCACTTGACGAGTTTGCGTTTGTGATCATCTTAGGAAAATCAATTGCGAAATCTTGTTCATATTTCATTTCTTTTGATCTGCCGTTGCTGATCTTAAATTTTGTAGCTAAGTGGGTTTTTTTTTTTTTTTTGCCCCAATGAAGCTTGAGTTTGGGTAGATAATGGTCCAGTGCACGTAGAATTTTCTCTGGCTTGTAGCCTTGCCGCTGCTTTTCTTCTTGTCATCTTGTCAATTGCCAGTGGCTGTTCACGGTTCACAAGTTTTTTATAAAAAAAATTAAATAAATAAATGACCTTCGGGCTTAGCCCAAATAAAATAAAATGGTTATAGTTTAATATTTTTTATTAACAAATATTTTTTTTTAAATTATTTTAAATACCAAAACAATTTTAAATATTAATTTAAAACAAAAAATATTTTAAAAAATATTTTTTAAACATAAAAACAAAAAATTATATTTCACATTCACGACACTTTCATCCAAGTGGTTACATCTCGGCCAAGACAACTACTCTTAGAATCATAAAATTCCTAACTCTAGATTTTTGATGCATGCTTCAGTGTGTTTTTTTCAATTACGAGAAGAATCTGTGTATCATCTGAGTATAAATTATTATTTTTATAGTGGATAACATCACATTTCTAGCAAATAGTCATGTAGATGTGATTGCTTTTCAAGTTTTAACTTCTTAAAATTAATTTAAAAACATTAAAAAAAAAGGGATTAAGTAGTGTATCTCTCCAAGTTTCAGGCGAAGGTAGGATGCATCCAGACATCTTGGATATCGGAGGTGAACGAGATAAAATACCGCTCCGACGCCTTCTATCGCCAAAAATGTCAGTGATAGTTTGGTAAAGTATAGTTGAAATGTTTCTTGTTCCAATATAACTTTAAAAATATTTAATTAATTAATACAGTTATAATTATATCGCCATTCACGAAGGTGTGTTTATTAATGCGGGGGTGGCGTGTGTTTTAAAGAATTTGACTTTTTATTTTTTAATATATTTTCAAATAAAAAAATATTTTAAAATATATCCATAAACCTTATCATGTTGTGTCAGGTTGGGTCTTGCATGTCCTTGTAGGTTTTTTGGGTGCTGTGCTGCTGGGCCAGCCGAACAGCTCTTTCACTTGGTGTTTCACTTTTAAGTTTTTTCGGCCTCCAATGTTCTCACCTCTGTCGATTTCGTCATTGTATGCTATTGATTTATCTTTTCCACCCTTTTAAGCTTGTTTGTTGGATTTGTAAGCTTCTGGGATTTCTCTCTTCAACTTCCGCTACCATTTTGGATCGTTTTCGTCGTTGATTTGTAGTTGATTTGGCCAATGCTGATTTGTGATAACAGCTCTGAGCACGCTATAAACAAAAGCAGAGAATATGGGGACCAGTTTTGAGTTGTGGTTGTTTTCAGGGAGCACCTTCGTCTCTTCCTCACTGCACGGACCTGGCAGGGCCTGAACTTGCAGCTTGCACAATTAATGCTCTGTGTACTGCTTTGTCGAGTTCTTTTCAAGTCCGCCCTCCTCCTTTCGTCCCTCCATTATTTATCAGCTTGGGTTAATGCGCTTCCTTTGGCTGAACAGCATCATGTTCTTCCGCTGGTTGTGGACCCATCACCTGCACGTTTGGACTCGACCTTCTGGTCTGCGTAATTGGCTTGGCTTTCGCCATGGGAGCTTCATGTAGACTTCTTGACCTGCGCCTTCTATCTCAAAGACAGCAGCTTCCCCTCTATTATTCTTTCGTCCCGATCTCACTGTACAAACCAGTTAAGTTTAAGCTACACTGTTCCTGGTTTCTCTTCTTCCAATTCCCCTGTCTCATCATATTTTGCATTCCCCCTCTCCCCTTTTGCAGGAACGACTTCATGGGTTCCTTCTCCACATGCTTGCATTTTCCTCCTCATTTGGTCTCCACTGATTGCTTGCAGCTGTTATCTATTTTCTGTGGTGTGGTCTCTTCACAGGTATTTTTTAGCATCAATTCAGTGTTTCCGTTTGTATTGTTTCCTATCACCTGCTAGCACAGATTCCCCGCATCCTGTCTTGCTTCTTCAAGGCAATTAGTTCATTGATTATCATGTTTTATCTGTTATATCTTCGTCTGTTTTGTTTTCTGATCTGGTTGTTGCTGCTGTGATCGGAGGGATTCCAAGGTTATTTCTCTGTATGCTTTGTTTTTTTCATATAAATTAGAAAAGTGAAATTATTAGTTTTTAACAAATATGATATAGCTTTTTTAGTAATCTATATTTTAAAAATGAAACTAAAAATGAATACAGTATGTTATATGATAAAAACGTTTTTTCCTAAATAAAATATTGTGTTGGAAAGCATGTTCTTTCTTTCAAAATTTTCTTCACAACTACAAAGAAAAGTTGAAAACTGAGCTTCTCCAATATTCATTAACATTTATAAGATTATAAAGAAAATAAAACTAAATTAAAATATTGTTTCATTGTTTTCTATCGTGGATAAAGAGAAATTGCTACAAGGCAATTGTCTCTGTATCTCCAATAGCAGAACTATTGTTTTAGTTTTTTTTTTTTTTTTTGCACTGGATTAGATTGGAGGCCGCCTTGCACTGTAGTTCGACCCAGATTTCTTCCAATGTAAAAAATAAATGTTTAGACAATATAAAGCATTTTTTTTAGTTGCTTCTATGTTTAAAGCAAATTATATAAACAAAATATTTAGTAAAATAATAAACATTATTTACTGTGTGTGAAGCTTTCACAATTTACATTTCCAACGCTAGTTAGCCAAAGCAACATCAATGTGCTTCTCCCTTCTTGCCGTGTTTGTATACAGTGGATTATTTCATTTTATACTGTTCATTATCGCATCCAACTTGATAAAAAAATTATTTTTTTAATTATATTTTACTTAAAAAATATTTAATAACATTATATAAATTAAAAGAGAATCCTATAATAACATAGTATTTATATAATTTGATTGCAATTTTAATTTTAATTTTAATGATATTTTATTTAATTTTGTTATACGCTTAGAAAACCATAAAAATTATAGTTCTCATATAATAAATTTCATATGTGATGAAATTGTTAATAAGTTAATGGAGTAATAAAAAATATTTAATTTAAATTATTATTTATTTAATAATATCGTAGTGGTAATTAAATTTATAATATTTAAATTAAAAACCATCATTTTTAATTATTTTATAACATTATTTTGAAAAGCATGTTCAACCAAATATATTAAATTATTTTTTATTTAATCTCAATTTCAACCACAGTTTTAACCAAATGTGATATGTTTGGTGTTGTGGTAGCTGTTTGTGATTGTGGTTTTATAAAAAGTACTTTTAGTTGAGATTAGTTTGAAAAAATATATATTTGGTTAAAATTATAGTTGAAATTAAGGTTTAACAAAAAAATAATTTAGTTGTCGTTTGATATTGTTGTTGCGGGTGAGGTTTACCCACAGCCACAAATGTTATTGTTTGATATTGTAAAAAACATAATTTTTTAATTGTAGGACCCACCATAACTGTGGTTGTGACGCAAGTTTACCAAAATCACAAGAAGCATCTTTTTGCTGCTTTTTTGCGGAGAAATTTCATGAACAGTATAGAAAATAAACAGTAGAGGCATACTTCACTGTTCACGTGAAAAGTGGAGTATGCCTCCAGTATTCACGTGAACAGTGGAGCATGGCTCTACTGTTCATTTTTTCTACTGTTTTGGCCGGATCAAATCCGGTTTAAAGCTAAAAATGCATTAAACCGAGTTCGACCTAGTAAAATAAAAAAATTATTTTTTTATTTTTAATTGTATTTTATTTAAAAAAATAGTATTAAACATTATTCAATGAAAACTATATAAATTAGACGGAGATTGCTTGATGATATAGCATTTGTAAAATTTGATCGCGATTCTAATTTTATTCTTGATTATATTTTATCTGATGATGTTGCATTCTTAAAAAATTTGTGAAAACTATAGTCGTTGTTGAATGTATTTCATATGTGATGGAATTGTAGATAGTTTAATGGAATAATAAAAAATATTTTATAAAAAATATTATTTATTTCATTAAATAATAGCAATTGTTAAATCTATAATATGTAAATTAAAAATCATCAATATTAATATATATTTTTTAAAATTATTTTCTAACCTCAATTTCAAAAGCATTTTTAACCAAACACGTAAAATTATTTTTTATTTAATCTCAATTTCAATCATAGTTTTAATCAAACATATAGTTTTTCAAATCAACCTCAACTAAAAGTATTTTTTATAAAATAATTTTTTTCATACCATAACAACTATCATAGTACCAAACACATTCTAATGTGTTTGGTTAAAAAAAATGATTTTCAAATTAATGTTATAAAGTAATTAATATATATATATATATATATTTATGGTTTTTAATA